GTATTAACTAATGTCACGCAGTATTGACGAATGTCACGCAGTATTGACGAATGTCACGCAGTATTGACGAATGTCACGCAGTATTGACGAATGTCACGCAGTATTAACTAATGTCACGCAGTATTAACTAATGTCACGCATTATTGACTAATGTCACGCAGTATTGACTAATGTCACGCAGTATTGACGAATGTTACGCAGTATTGACGAATGTTACGCAGTATTAACTAATGTCACGCAGTATTGACGAATGTCACGCAGTATTGACGAATGTCACGCAGTATTAACTAATGTCACGCAGTATTGACGAATGTCACGCAGTATTGAAGTCCAGGAAACTGTTGGATCATTTTCATTTAAAACCAACAGAAACTTTATCCGTTCTGCTTTTTAACACAGATCTTCATCGTTCTGAAGGCCAATGTGTTGGAAAAGTTTTACGTCTTGATCGTCCTGCCTTGAACAACTTTTAGATTAAAACACAAGAATTTGACTGAAAATACAAATAAAAGACGAGAAGTTCTGTGTTTATTGATCAAAGTTATAAAGATCAATAAACACAGAACTTACTAAATACTACATGATTAAATCAAAGTTATAAAGATTTAATCATGTAGTATTTACAACATGCAGTTATTACAAGTATATTGATGAGGATGAAGAGAAATACTGGTTTTGATTGTTTATTACATAATGCACCAGATTATTACACCTTTACATTTGGTAACAACTGCTGCAACATGTAATAACATTATTACATAATGTGTTGAAGACTGTAATTACATTTTGTGTCAGTTATTACAAAATAAGGTTTTAGTGTGAGTTTATTACAGTTTATTACATTATTACACCATGTTGTGTTGTGTTGTGTTGTGTTGTGTTGTGTTGTTACAAACTGAGGTCTTCCAGACGTTGTTGGAGTTTGAAGCTGCAGGATCTGTTAAAATGTTTCCTGAGTTTTTACCAGAACTTGAGTTTTATCATCAGAACGTCTCGGTTCTGGAGCCTGCAGCAGGGTGACGGGTCAGAACTCTTCAGGACCTCTGACCGTCAGATTTTATGATTTCTTTAAATCATCTGCAGAGCTGCTTGTTGTCTGACAGGTTTTAACAAACAACTTTTAGTTCCAAATCAGCTTCTGTTGGCTTTGAGCTCTGTTCCTGCAGTGCACGTTGTGTTAGTGCACGTTGTGTTAGTGCACGTTGTGTTAGTGCACGTTGTGTTAGTGCACGTTGTGTTAGTGCACGTTGTGTTAGTGCACGTTGTGTTAGTG